CTTCCATGGTCCTTCTACCAAGTAGACTGGTTAGTTGACTTGTCTCAGAAAACATGAGTTCGTACTACGACGTCGATGCCATCCTTACAGATGCCCAGAAGGTGCCCTGTACCTTTGAGCTTACCGTTCCTGGTCTCGGCTATCTTGAGGGCAACATGAGCGGCGACATGAAGCAAGGCTCAAAAGTCGAACTCCCCTTGTGGCTCGGCGAGATGCTTGCATTGAGGTAAACTGATCTTTGTGTCTTTCTAACAGCCATGTATTTACACTATCTATAGCCAGAGTCTAAACACTTCCTCTCTTGTCACTATCGATCCTCCCTCGGCCCTCTCTCCACGCGTCTTGAACGCACTCAAAGCTGACCCGCGTACCGTCGATCTGCGTGCCTTGGCTCCGCACTTTTATAATCTCGGAGCACGCATCCTCGAGCTATTCGAGGAAGAAGAAATGATCGAGGTACTGAGCGATGTGAGTATTGCGCCAAGCCTTCCGGCATCTAGTTAGAGTTAACCTCCACAGACCTTCAAGGCCAGGGCTGCTTTGATAGCTGATCAAGCCCATAACCCACGGGGTGCATTAGGTGAAGGCGCCGACTTTATGCGGGGCCTAGATGAGAATGAACGGCAGCGTGAGTATCCACCAATCAACTTCGGAATCCTACAGCTGATGCCGACAAAGTGTTCCGTGCGGCGCACGACAGCGCAAAAGGCGTGCGCACCTGGATGACAGATCTGAAGAAGAAATGAGCAGGACCACCAGGGACTAGTCAGCAGGGCAACCGAGGTCCATTTAGAATCAAGCTTGGTCAGACCAGTGCAAGACTGCATAATAGTGGCAATGACCAATGAAAGCGCAGAGACGAAAAAGCATGACTTCGGAAGGCTGATAGTGATACACAATTGCGAGGCAAGCAGTCATGGAAGCCTACCTTCTGATTATAATACAATACCTCAAATCAACCAGCCAGTGAATTCAAATTTTGCTTTCGTTGCTTCAATCTTACCGCATCGTTGCACCAAGGTTACTGTTTTGTAACAACACAGCCAGCTGATCTGGCGGATACCCTAGGAACACTGGCCCATTGAATATCATTTGGGGTATCAACCGTGGGCCTCCAGTCTCCCCGTTCTGCTCCGGGGGCTGTCTTTGTGGCAGGGGCTCTGCGGGTGGCGCCTGGGTATTCGTGACTCCGGGCGGCGGCGATGACGGCGGCGGGGCAGCTTGTGTTGCTTGATGCTGTTCATGTGCTTGATTTTGATTCATCATCGCTCGGTGATCGAATGGACACTTTCCTGTGCTTTGCGGGGTGTCTTCCACTGGCCGGCCAGTGTCTAGCGGAAACTGTGGTGATGCGGTTGGGACGGAGCCAACTGACGATGAGCTCTCGGCATTGGTGTATTTCGCTGGAATCGATATGCCCCAAGGTCGACTTGGAGACTCGCCTACTCGGACTTCCTTTAGCGGACGGTCAAAGTGTGCTGTTCTAGTCTCGTCCATGGCATGATCTTCTGGCAGTTCCTCAGGAGTCGGAGTGCCATCATGAAGACTTGCTGAGACAGCTGTGGCCCAGTTGTGAACTTTGGTGTCTGCTCTGGCGTCGGCAATGTGGTTAGGTTCGGTTTCCGGCTCTTCGTCTATAGCATCATCAGGATCCTCAGGCAGCCATGCCTGATGCTTTTGACCCAGACCCTGGATCATATTGACCAAGTTGCCATACTTGCGATCCAGCTGTTCAATGCTCTCCTGGTTACGCTGGAAACGTGTGATGCAAACTTCGTGGCTCCTAGGTAGCTCGTGCTTGTGTTTTTCAAAGTATTCTGCAACCTCTTCTGGGTTATGCTGGTCAAGGAAGCGGATGGGACAGACGGCAGCAGACCCAGATGCAGCTACCGAGGCAGTCATTGAGGCAGGTTTATTGCTACATATTTCGGCGCGGATAGGATCGGCGAACGAGGGTCGTTTGGACCTACGACCGCGCAGGCTAAGACGTGAGGTCGAGCTTCGCGGCGTAGCAAGAGGACTGCCTCTACCACTTCCAGATGCGAAAGGGCAAGCCAGCTTACTGGGCGTTCCGGCAACTGTGAAATCTTTTTCAAGAGGGGAAGTGGCTCTATTACTCTGTGTCTCAAGTTGCGGGGTCGGTACATCAGCTGATGGACCGCTCCATATCTTTACACTTGTTGTATTTTCAGGGGCACGCAGTTGAACAGCAGCCTCCTCAGCCTTCTGGATGACCAGTGCCCGGCTCTTGCGCTCTACATCGTCGCTATTTGCTAATTGCTCCACCAAATTCACGTGCATATGTGGTTGTTCGTCCCCAACTCGCTCGAGCTCTTGCAAAAAAGTAAGATGATCTTGCGACAGCGTGTCCGGCGCGAACCGCTTGAGTAGGTCAAGATACTGTAGAATGTCAGACAGGATCTTGCAGAATAGTGTGTTTGAACGTGAGATGAGGGAATCCGAAATCAGGTCATGCTGTGGTTGTTTTCTGTCAAAGCCGCGAGAGCAGCTGCAGGTCTAGAGCTAAAGTGTATCATCATGAAAGGAGGGGGGAGGGCTGCTAGCAGTCGTCACATACCTGTTGCTTGGCCCACGAGAGCTTGCTTTCCACCTGTTTTTGCTGATCAAAAAGAGCTTGGTATTCTCCACTCAGAGCCGCAAAGCCTTCAACCAGCTGCTCGGCAAGCACTGTGACGTTGAGCTGAGCCTCGTCAGCCATAATGCCGTTGGCACAAGGGCGAAATGTGCGAAGGTGGTGCGTATAGAGACAGCAAGAGAGCCCGGCTTTGATGACGCGGCAACGAGGCTCGCGGCCAGGAAAAGTGAGAAGGACGGAAGCTCGGCAAGGATTGCAGGGTCGGAAGCAGCGGCGCAGGCCGCGCCACGCTTAGTCATCGCTACCAGCCACTCACCTCGCAGAGAAGCCCATGGTCAGATGCGTTGGGAGGCGCGTCAGAGCGCACTGCGCCTTGGACCTGTTACGTAGCATCTCTTCTTGAACTGCAACTTTTATACGCCATGATACCCTAATAGCACAAGAAACGCCATTGTTTAGCGAAGCATCTGAGAACGTCTGTTAGCATCCTCGTCGCCCTGATTCGGCACTGCAATTCCAAAAACCCCTAAAGAGCAGACGCTAAGCACCTCGACAATATTCACAATGGGGTCGATCCACGATTCCCGCATACACAAGTGGTTCGCAACCTCGCCTCCGGTCGCGTGGACAATCAGACAACTACGGGAGATTCTCATTGGGTCTCTTAAGCAGGGTCCAATCCCACAACATGTGGCGTTTGTCATGGACGGGAACAGGCGGTTTGCACGCAATCACCACATTGAGACTGTAGAAGGGCATAATCTGGGGTTTGAATCACTGGCTCGGGTACGAGGAACCATGGAAAAGGGGCATTTCCCTTGTTGGGTATGATACTGACAACTGACCAGATCCTCGAAGTGTGCTACAAGACTGGTGTGAAAGTGGTGACAATCTACGCGTTCAGTATTGAGAACTTCAAGCGTTCGAAGCATGAGGTGGATGCGCTCATGTCCATGGCCAAGGTGAAGCTACAACAGCTAGCCGAGCATGGTGCTTTACTAGACCGCTACGGTGCATCCATTCGAGTCCTGGGCGAACGCGAGCTTGTTAACCCAGATGTGCTCATGGCTGTGGACAAGGCCGTGGCCATGACCGCTCACAATAAGAAGTACACAACAACACCCAGTGCGAAGGCGACTGCTGACCCATTGAATAGAGCTGTCCTGAATGTCTGCTTCCCTTACACGTCGCGCCATGAAATCACGACCGCTGTCATGAAGACTGTCGAGACGTATAGCACCCCTATGCATAACCTGTCTACTTCGCCGAAACGCGCCTTTTCTGAATCGCATATTACGCAACATATTAGGAAGCAAATGTTGGAGGAGGACGCAGAAAGCGTATTGGAACAATCGGAGTCACGTCCAGCGTCGCCTTCGAAAGAAGCTGCCTCAGCGGAAGACGGGCGGTCTTCGTCGACGGCAACAGTCATTAATCCACCAGACAAGGATGAGTCGCAGACGGAACCTACATTCCTGGATCCTGAGTCGATTAGTGCCCAGACACTGAACGACAACATGATGACAGCCGACGCTCCACCGCTTGATTTGCTTATCCGCACTTCTGGTGTGCAGCGACTGAGCGACTTCATGCTGTGGCAGGCTCACGAGAATACGTCCATTGTATTTCTCAAGTGTTTATGGCCCGAGTTTGATCTTTGGCAATTCCTGCCCGTACTAGTGGAGTGGCAGTGGCAGCAGAAGAAGCTGCAAGAGGAGCAGCAGCGTATTCGTGGGCGGTCAAAGTCGGAGTAATGCATACACCGGAGCAACGGTTGATTGGAGGTCGTGGTGAAAGGTGGCAGATCTAGACTTGAGCGCGCATCAAAGATACCCAGAATCAAGTATTCCATCCATCCCCTAATGCACACTACAAAAAGCCATCGCTTAGACTACCGGTCGATCTCGCCGGACTGGGGCCCTCGAAGGCGTCGGCGGGAGCTATATAGTACTCCTAGTTTCGGCGGCAGGCCTGGCACGTGTATGTACACAGCTTTCAGCTGCTAATGTATGGCATACCAGTCTTTCATGGTCGGTGACCTAGCATACGACCTTTGGACTTGTCCTAGGCGCGCTAGCCAGTCATAGCGCAAGGAAGCCAAACGTCATCCTACCCTACTGCCGCCCATGACAGCCGAGGAAGAAGCTATCAGTGTGCAAGCTGAGCAATGCCTTATATTGTGCGCACGCCAGGGCTTGTAGTGAGCGCCTAGTTGTCGTCACGTCCAGCTCATGTTAACGTTGTAGTGCTTACCAGTCCAAGTGACGCTGTTCTGTATCTGTTTGCTGGACTCGGTGTCTGTGTGCTATATACTTGCTACTTAGTTACGTTACTTCTTATCAGCAACCATCTTGCTTCCGTCGCTCGCCGTTCCGTCTAATCGCACGCCATCGACTACAGCATCATGAGCGCACCAACCATTCTCACGATACCCATCGAACTACGAGAGCTCATTTACGAGTTTCTCTTTGGTAGCTACACCATTCGACACGGCTTCAAACACCCAGGCCTTCCCAGCAGCAAAACGGACGCCTCTAATCGCACATCACTACTTCTCACTTGTCGCCAGATCTACACCGAGGCCAGCCGCCATCTTCCGCTCAACTGCACCCTTCACTTCCGCGGTACTGAGAACTTGCTCGAAACACTCCTCTCGATCGATCAGAGTGTACTGACCCGCTTGCGCCACATTCGGGTTCGCGCGTATCCATTCCCCTTGTACACTGGAGAGACTACGCATTACTATCCTACCTACTATGCAGCAAATGCGCTTAATCTGCTACCTGGTCTGTGTCTCGACACACTAGTCGTGGAAGACTGCTGGCATGGCTTTGGCATGTGCGATGGCTGGCGAGACGTTACAACTTACTTCGATATCGAAAGCCTCCTCAATAGCGATGCTTGGAAACAACTTATCTACATAACACCTTGTACCGACTTCATCGCCTCGGGCTACGATCACCGGCACAAACGGTCAGCCCAGCCCGAAAACTGGGATGCGCTTATCAAGGAACGTGATGGAGTCGAGTACGGCGCCGAGGTCAAGATGTACATTGTTCCGTACGACCAACAAGCAGCTACTGGCTGTGAAAAAACCGAGGATGGACGAGCCATGCAGCCCTGGGCAGCAAAACCAGGAGATAAAGTCAACGAGGACTGGCGGATCGCAGGACCAGAGCAAGATATGAAGGGCGAGGTCAGGATCCTGGCGAAGCGAGGTAAACGGGCAAGAGTAGTACAGTTGGGTCTCAGCGAAAAAAGAACTTGGAAAGAAATCAAGGGGACAGCTGTTGGTGGCTTTGCCCCCGAAGGTGAGCAGGTTTCCAGTCCCCATGAGTACACTCAGTCTTGACTAACTTCTTTCAAGGATGGACGCCATACCACAACGACATGTCAGATGCAGTCGGATGGATATATGGTGGCTATGGGCGAAGGATGCAACTAGCAGACGCCGCTCTTCACAGTTGACTACATCGCTTCACTACGCAACCCGTCCACGCGCCATGGATGACGGATGCACGAACTCAGGATTGAGTACTGTGCAGCGGTCGGCTGCATGGCGCAAGAGTTGGCACCTTTGCATTCATCTATATAGGTTGCCAAGGTGCGTAGTGGCGCTGTCTTTGCAAGGCGGCTGAAGTATTTTGCGCGCTGTGCCGCATGGCATAGTGAGAATATGGATTCGAATCGTGGCACACGGAAGACACATGTCTCAGAAAGGTGGCACTGCACTATTGATTGTGCAGTATTTTGTATTGTGAACTTGAGATGGTTAGTTTGGGAGGTATGTGGGAATACTGCGCCGGGCATACCCACGATGGATGGAGTGCCAAACTATTCGTCATCGGCCGCTGCGCGACCGTGCCGCAAAGTTATGGGGCTCACTTCTGCACGTTCACCTTGCCGCGCAGCTGCTTTGTATTGAAATAGGAGATTCCTATTCCGACATGGTAGCCTGTCGCTTAACAGTTGTAAAGGGAGTCGCAATGAAAGTACAAGTAGGGGCGGCCGACCACGACTTTGTTTGTTCTCCGTTACACGGCGGTGCGCATTGCTTGCTTGTACGATTCGCCTGTCACCTGCTTTGTGCAGTATTTCAGGCCTCTTATTATTCCCATGCGATAGACGTCGGCTAATGAACTGGCACCCGACAATATGGTAAGCCCACTTATGTATTCACATAGCACGAGCAAGTGCATGCGTAGACTGAACATCACTAGCGCCAACTATCGCACATCATCCTAGCACTTGTTGCTGTTGGCTTTGGGTTCTCACTTGCCCAGCAGTATCCGCTTCCTGTTACCTATGACACCACTCTCAAATCACCCGTGGACCCTAGCATCACCATCTCCTTCAAGCAGCCTGAATCCGACATATGCTCTACAACCGCTGAAATGCAGAAGCAGTACTCGGGCTATGTCAATCTTCCTCCGTTTACGCTTGCGCCCTTTCAGCAAAACTATTCAATCAACACCTTTTTCTGGTTCTTTGAGGCTCGAGACAACCCAGAGGCTGCACCATTAACAATATGGCTGAACGGTGGACCTGGACAGTCTAGCATGGTTGGCCTCTTTACCGAAGTAGGACCATGCAGGGTTGTGCAAGGCTCTAATGACAGCTACACTACACAGCCCAGGCCCTGGGGTTGGGATCGCAGTTCCAACATACTCTTCATCGATCAGCCCACTCAGACCGGCTTCTCCTATGATGAGCGGGTGAATGCGTCTATAGATTTCAGTAACGATGATCCAACAGGATTGGATGCCCGTAAGCAGCCATCACCCCTTCCGACTGATGTACCTGTCTGGCGCTTCAAAAACGGGACGTTCGCTTCTGGTCTTACTACAAACACTGAAGACTTGACTGCCATTGCCGCCAGATCGACCTGGCACTTCCTGCAAGGTTTTCTCTCCGCTTTCCCTCAGTACAATCCAGGGGTGCATCCTGATAGTGATGTTGTCGAGTCTGCTGCTATCAATCTGTTTGCCGAGAGCTACGGGGGCATGTATGGCCCCATCTTTGCAGATTTCTTCGAAGCTCAAAATGAGGGAAGAAAAGATGGAAAGGTACCAAGCGATGCATTGGAGATCCGTGTGGGTTCAGTAGGCATTGTTGATGGTGTCTTGGATGTTATAACAACCACAACATCAGGCCTGGAATTTGCATACAACAACACATATGGTATCGAAGGCATCAACATTACAACCTACGAGAATGCAATAGCGGCAGTCAACGGAGAGATGGGCTGCAGGGATCTGATAACGCAATGTCGTGTGCTTGCAGCAAAGAACGATCCCGATAATCTCGGTACCGATGAGGACACTAACAAGCTTTGCGCAGGTGCTCTACTAACCTGCCAATTGGCTGTTTTGCCTGTCATGGCTATCGGCAGAAGCGTTTATGACGTGCGAGTGGAGCCTCAGGTTGGGCCGGCTGCCTCCTATGTAGAATATCTGAATGATGCCAGGGTTCTACAGTCCATCGGCGCTTCAGTCAACTTCACCTCAAATAGCATTACTGTTGAGAATTCTTTCAATTTCAGTAAGTCACATTCATTTGACAAGCTTCTCTAGAAAGAGAGCTTTGCTGATTCTTGCTCTAGACGGAGATGCTGCTCGTGGGACGCAGCTGACCTCTCTGGCGCGCTTGCTCGCTCGTGGCATCAAGGTGGCCTTAATATACGGTGACGCAGATGTCCTAGGCAACTGGTATGGAGGCCAGAATGGATCCCTCGAGCTATCTAGTCTTGTTCCAGGGTACGATACCGCATTCCCAGCTGCTGGCTATGCCGATATCGTTGTCAATCCATCTTACGTTGGCGGAGCCGTGCGTCAATATGGCAACCTTTCATTCTCTCGAATCTACGATGCTGGTCACCAGGTACCCTATTACCAACCAGAAACCGCATTTGCTGTCTTCAGTCGGACCATTCAAGGTCGTGACATCAGCACGGGTCGCGAGGCTGACTTGTCAACGTTTGCAACCGAAGGACCCAACACTTCTGATCATAAGAATGTGGTGCCGCCTCAGCCAGACTCAGCCTGCTGGATCAGAGACGCCGTTTCTACTTGTAAAGAAGAAGAATGGGCTGCTATTCGCCAGGGCAAGGGTACAGTCAAGAACGGCATATGGATGCCTTCAGAAAGCATCGAAGCATTTGAGAAAACGTCGGGAATTTCGTCACTACAACAAAGTTTCCTACTCCGCCTCTTCCGTCGCGACGCACCTCCAGAACAAGGGAAAAGGGGCAAGAGAAATACAAAGATGGTCATCATTGGGGGAGTTTCTGCGGCGGTTGCGTTTCTGTTGTGAGTGCTATTGCACCAACACCCTCCCAAACACTACATAGATTAAAACTTCATACATACCCAAAACGTCCTCTCCTATACCGAAACCACTTTCACAAACAACAACCCACCAGCGATCTCAAAACTCTCCCAAACTAAACCCCCTGATCACTAAAAATCCTACCATAGCGGCATTCTCACCACCCTATGCTGCCTACGCCTCCCCACCAACTCTACCAGCACCCTCCATTCCCCCAGTGCCATGGAAATGGGCCCCATAACCTCCACCCACATCCTCCACCAAGACGCCAATTCCCTCCTCCTCAACCCGCTCCACCGTCACATCCCACTCCTCGAATCCATCCCCGAAGCGAGTCCACGCCCCAGCTCAGATACGCGCCGCTCCCTGGAAAAGAAACCAGCGCCGCACCCCTTGCGTAAGTATGCGGCGCAGAATGCTATCCCATGCAACAGTAGCGGACTGCAAACGGTGGTGGCGAACCGGGATTCGACGCCAGTGGGCGGTGGAGAGTCGCTTGGCGAGGGGGATGTGTGAGGGATGAGCCAGGGGATGGTCCTTTGTCTGCTCTTCCTTCCTCCCTCTTTCTCCGCGGGAAAAAAAAACCGGCGCTGTGAATGGGGTAGTTAGCTGTAGCATCGTAAATAATGCCTTTTTATGGTCATGAGAGAAGTTGTCCTTGCATGTTCTCTTTCTGATCCGCGTTGATTTACGTATGTGATTTAGAGACAATATGACTTATTGTGGTCTTGGGACGGGACAAAATCGGGGTTCCAAGGCTTGGGGGCGCGGGATTGAGATGGCGGGGGCGGTGAGATATGTGAATGAAAATGGGTTTTCTTTGTTTGTTTTCTGGGGTGATGTGTAAGGGGTTGGTGGGTATGCGGAAGGTAGGTACTTGGAATTTTTTTCTACAAGGGATGAGTGAGTTGCTTGTGCAGATTAGAGTGCTGTGCAAGGCTTGCCAGTTGGCTGGATGACAGATTAAGATTAGATATCTCCATTAATCATATTTCATTTAATTTTTCATTTTCGTTTTGCCTTCCTGTCCCTTGGATGATTGCATGATTCCCATGTAGCGTGGACTTAGAGCCGGTGGATTGCGGTCATGCCCTACGTCTTCAGTGGGCTTTGTTGCTTGACTAACACTAACCGAACAATATCCCTCTTCTTTGAAATCTCTCATCGCTGACATGGATTGAGCAGAAGACGTGCAAATATGTTCCTTTCTTGGGTGTTCATAGCAAACGTTCTTCATTTGCTCTGAGCATATGCAAACTATCGTACATGGATATAACAATCTCTCCACACTACCCCGCCCCCCTCCCATGACGACATCCCTGGGTATAAAAAGAAAAGAAAACTGTAGCAAGGATAATATGTCACTTCTTGCACTCCTTGCTATATAGTATAAACACCATCGCTATGCTCCCTCCCTCCATGCCAGAGTAACTAATCGACTTTTACACCTAATTAAAATTGGTGCACAGGAAACTGGAGCTGGGCGAAAATAAAAGAACTAAAAATCAGAAGGGGGTGCGCAGTCGCAGAACAGACGCGATTAGCCAGACACGGTAGGCAAAAGGACAAATATCAATCCAGAACTTACTCTGGTCGTAACTTAGCTGGAAAAAACAGAAAACGGCTCAAATCTCGATGTCAACGCCAATGTCCATGCTCGCAATAATGTCATCATCCATCTTGGGCTTCCTGAATGTCGGCAGGCCTTTCCGCTCAGTCTTCTTCTTGGATTGTTGAGGGTTGGGCGTGCTTGCCCTGGAACTGCCCTCGCCGTCGAAGAGGGCATCGACGTCTAGCGCCTTCTTCTTTTGTGCTTCCTCTTCTTGTGCCTTTCTCGCCTCTTCTTCTGCTTTCCGGCGGGCAGCCTCCTTCTTCTGGTCGATCTTCTTCTGTCGCTGTTGCTCGAGCTGGGCCTTTCGTACGCGCTCAGCTTCTAGTATGCGGTTTTTGCGGTTGAGTTCAGCAACACGCGCAGCGGCTGCCTCGGACTGCGTAGCAATCTTGGGCTGCGCGTCAGAGGATGAGCGTTGGAGAAGATGGGCGTATTTCTTGGACTTTGCAATACGGGCGCTGATATCGGCGTCGGTCCAGTAGTGGTTCTGAAGCGCCTTGAGGTCGTCGTACTTCCGCTTAAGGAAAGACTGAGATGGCACCTTGGAGTTTGTCTCGGCAAGGGATTGGCGGTAGATGTCAAGATCACTCTCGGTAAAGCGCTGGTTCGACATGAATTGGAACTGGTAGTCCTTCTTCACTGACCCGTGTTGCGCAATGACGTATTGATCTGTTGCGATGCGTTTGCCATCCTTGCCTTCGAAAACGTAGGGCTTGCCGACGGAGAAGCCTAAGAAATGAGTTAGTTGTGTTCATGATGCAGTTGTCGATATGCCTACCCTTGATTTGCGCCATCTTGTAGAGAGTGCGACGTTGGGCATCCTGACCAACACCCACACGCCCAAAAGCGCCTGTCAGAGCCTCTTCGAAACCTGGGTGGAAGCAAACCTCTGAGAAGAAGCCTCTACCGACGCGCACCGATTCAAAGTCACGTAGGGTTGCAGGCACATCCTCGCGAACCTTGTCTGGTACTCTGTCGTCCCACTCAACGTCACTCTCACCGTCGGCGTCAAGATCTGAGCCACCGTCGCGATCGCCAGAGCTAGATCGCCTACGGTCACCACGTCGGTCATCGTGTCGCTGTCTTTGCTGGCCTCGCTGCTCTCGTTCGCGTTTGTATGCCTCGAGTTTCTCGTTCTTACGGGGTTGCACTTTAGGGCGACTGCTTTTGCGCATGGCATCGTCAGGGTCTTCTGAGTCGGCCTTGCGCTTTCGGTCGTTTTGAACGTTGGCGGCACGCCTTGCGAGCTCTGCCTTGAAATTGGCATTGCTCATCTCCTCAGCGCGTTGACCCAGAATCTCCTCTCGCTCCAACTGCGACATGCCCATGATCTGCCGCTTGTCTGCCTCGTCGATGTATTTACCCTCGAGGGGGTAAGGCACGTCGGCCGCGTGCGCGGGCTCGTCATCATCGCGATCCGAGTCGGATTCGTCCATGGCATCTGATCCCAGCGAGTTTGGCGATGAGGCTGCAGGCGACGAACTGGGTCGAGTCAGCGCCATGGTGCGGTAAGGGGTTGAGACGGTCGGTGGAGGGTTGAACGGAGGAGTATGGGAGGAGGAAGCGATGGGAAGGAGTGGCGAGAGATGGATGTGTGGTGATGGGTGAGAGAGGAGTACTCACGCCTCGCCTTCTTCTACGTCTGCGTCTTCGTCACCACCCGCGAGGGCGAAGAGCTCATCGTCGATATCATCGGCCGACATTGTGGAGGTGAATGGGAAAAAGTTTTGCGGTAGATTTTGGCCTGTTGCAGCGACAGTAGCGGTGATAACGGGTGGTCGCTGAGGATGTCAGGAGGAGATTCGGGCGCGCTTAAGGGGGAAAAGAGGAGGAAAGAGGAACGTGGGAAGTCCAAAGGTTGGGGAAACGCTCTCGGCGCTCGGACCATGCCGCGTCCGCCGAGTGGATCATTGGTTGCGTGCAGTGAGCGCATCATAGGCCATCTTCCTATTCTTCTGTTCACTGCATTCACTTTTTCAAGGACAATTGCGTATTTCTTTTCATTCCTATTATTGTACAATAGCCCAGGATATACGTCATGTGTTCTGCAATTCACTCATCGCGAACAATATCGCGCAGCATCTGCCGCAGCCTGCAATACCCAGTCCTCGATTTTCTTGCCCCCAGTACAGCCACTTGCGCACCACGCCAGACACTGCGATTCTCCAGCACAGCATCCACGTCACCGTCGCCACAAACAACAAAAGATGGCAAGCCAATACGGCCGCTTACACCCGAGCAGCGGGAATTTCTCTCTTCGGCATTGCGAGTGAACCAGACGGGTGAGCTCGCCGCCATCCTCATCTATGCTGCCCAGTCACCCGTCATCACACGGTCACATCCCCACTTGCGCCCGCTCATGAAGCACATGTACAACCAGGAAGCAGGCCACTACAAATACTTCAACGACGTCATCTCCAAGCATCGCATACGCCCGACGGCCATGACTCCCATCTGGACGGCGGCAGCGAGTATTCTAGGCTGGTCGACGGCTGTCATGGGGCGTGAGGCAGCCATGGCGTGCACAGAGGCTGTCGAGACGGAGATTGGGACGCATTATAATGAGCAGGTGCGGGTGCTACTGGACTGGGCTAAAAAGTGCGAGGAGAGGGGAGAGAGCTTAGGTCCTGAGTTGGATAAGTTGGTAGTTGAGTTGAGACGGATAAGAGATGAGGAACTGGAGCATTTGGATCACGCCGTGGAAAACGATGCCAAGAACGCAAAGCCATACGAACTTCTGACCGAGGTTATAAGGGGTGGGTGTAGAGGCGCCATCTGGGTGAGTGAGCGAGTGTAATACGACCCTTGTAGACATGAAAAGATGACAGCGCGGGATTTGGACTAGGTTTCTCTGTTTCGTGATTGTATATTACACACTTGTATCACCCCACTTATCATACTCTGGAACATAGCTCATTGCACAGGTTCACTTCGCAATGGGTTCTATTTTTTTTCCTTTGGAATCAAGTATGTACAGCGATTGTAGACCAAAATTACTACGATCTGGAACACCAGAATACTGCACCTCATTCCAGACAATGCTTACTTGGAAAGCAACTTAACAATGGAAGCTGCTGTAGCATTGTTGATTGAAAAGGTAGGATGCAGCTCATTGAGCCATAGGTACTCGTTGACAGGGTACTGGCAGCTAGGATCCTTGGTATACCAGGTCGGTGTACCACTATGTACTCGTTAGCTAACACGGCCCGCAGCATATAGGCTGTGGTTTAAAAGACTTACTTTTTGTACGCATCGCAGTAGCCTGTAACATTTTTCAAGTCTGCAGTCTGCTTGTAGCTCGCAGGGTTCTTGATGACGCTGTTATATAGTGACCACGTATCGTATACAAACGTAGTGGTGCCTTTGTTCTTTG